AAGGTTTGGATCCGCAACAGAATAATGAGTTTCAACAAGTAATTCAACCTAAAAAATCAATTAAAATAATTCGATCAGGTAAAATAAAAAAATATATCGAAATTGCTTTATCAATATTTCAGGTAAGTATCTTTTTTTTTGATTTAAAAAAAAAAAAAAAAAACTAAAAAATGTGAAAATTTAAGGATGAGAAATCACGTGAAACGGACGAAAATGTTATAGTTGTATTCTCAGGAAAAGGTCCAGCTATTAACAAGGCTATTACTGTAGTAGAAATAATTAAACGAAAGCTAGATGGATCTTTACATCAATATACTCAAATTGGACGAAATTTCTTAACACATGAAGACAGAGAGAAGGACAAAGATTACGAAATGATTTTGGATAATGAAGAAGATGATGGGCAAGTACAAACAACAGTTGATATTTGCTCATACAAGAAAGCTATTCTTATATATATGATTTATAATTAAAGGTCACGGGAACCTGTGATAACTATTTATCTCTGTTCTAAAGCGATTCCGAATTTAGAGAATACTTTAGGGTAAAAAATAAACAATTTTTTCAAAGGCAATATGACTTCGATTATTTAAACACGTTTCATCGACATCATATAGGTATCAACCACCAGCATAATTACCTTATTACGGCTAGAATTATACTTAACACCATGTAATAAATCATTAACTGTGAACAAATGCATTATAAAATATCATTATTATTAAATTACAATTACAATATATAATCGAAAAAAACTTCTAATGCTGCCCAGGCCAAGCAGGCGATGCACTGTTATCAAATTCGCCATAGAATCTGTTTGATGGGACCACTCGATGTTGAGTCCCACCGATAACGTATCCACAATCTGGGCAGTGAGAGACTTGAGTAGCACCACCACAATTTCCAATATAGTAAGGATGGTTATTTGGACAGACAAACCATCTACCACCAACCATACTATTGAAATCAGCGGTTCGTGTTTCTTCATTCATTGCATCTATTATTTGCTTTCGTTCTTCTGCCGAAATCAAACTTCGGGCCGATTCTTGTTTGCATTTTATTACGTTCCAGAGATTAATTTCAGTCTTTAAGTAACGGTTATATCTCATTGCTGTAAAAATAGGTTCTTGACAATTGGGACACTGCCAAAGTTTGACTGCTGTATGTTCGCCTAATCAAAAGTAAACAAAATGATAAATATTCAAATTCAACTTTAAATAAAGACAATTAAACATAGATCAATTCAAATTTACCATTTTTTACTTGATTTTTAAAGTACATGTCAAGACCTTCTGCTATGAATACACAATGACATTCTGGAAGCATGTAAAGACGTTCAAAATCTTTTATTTCGGAGAAGCTTTGAAGCGTTATACTACATTGCTTATTGGGATTGCATTTCAAGCAAGGCGGGCAAACTTCACCACAAAAACCATTACATTCATGACTATAAAATATAATCCATTATTAACCCATTCAATAAGAAATAAAATAAATGTCGTTGAATACTTACTAGCACTTTAATACTCTAGGACATCGCTTATTGCATGGATGTCGGTTACAAAATTCATAACATCTTTTGTTGCATACATAGTGTGGGCATTTCCATGGACAAGGCTCAAGGCATTTTGTACATTCTTCGTGGCAAGTTTTGGGGCATACATGCCCATGTAAACACTTAATACGACATGGTTTAATGCAGAAAGAGGTATGGCGATCAGGTTCGCTACAACCGTTCGCGCATTGATGTCCACAAATTAAACCTTTTGGACATTCGCGTGTACAATTAGATCTTTCATGAGAATGTTCAATTCCGCATTGACGCTGACAAAGATGTCCACAATCGAACATCTTACCGCAGGTTTCTTGACATACGGGAGACTTTGTGCTACATGGTAATTTAATACTATGGTTACAGTTGGCAAAAGTGAATAATTTCATTCCTTTGCATTCCATAGTCATTATAATTTCTTCGTTATCTTTCTGGTAGCATTTAACCCTATGTTTGTGTCCACATGGTAATTTCAGACACACATCCTCTTCGCAACCACGATTTGAGTGATCTGTATTCATCTGGTGACATGGTATAGATTTTATATGTCCACATGGTAAAGTGGAATCGACAAGGTGTTCGCATGGAGGACATTTTCCAGCCTTTTCACATTCATGGCATTTCTTAGGACAATCATGTTCACATTTTTGAGGCCTATGTTGGCCACCGCATTGTCGAGAGCAAATATATTCTACTTCTTTTGTATGGTGGATAGGGTGACATTTTCTTTGACATGCGTGCCCACACTTTAACAAACCGTGGCATGGTTCCTGTAATAATTGTAAACATTTCACATTATCGAAGGAGAAAAAATAGTAAAAAAAAAACTATTAAAAAAAAAAAAATAAATATTTACCGAACATCCTCCATATGGAACTTTAGTATCAAAATCTTTAACATTTGTGATGTCAATCTTTTTATTAATATGGGTGTTGCAATCGAGAGTTAGGCTTCTACCATATGCATTAGCTATTTAAATAAAGAAAGATAATCTCCTTAATGAAAGTATATTTCTTTAAATGATTAAAGGAAATTAATAAGATAAAATACTTACGTATAGTCTTTAACTTTTCAATAACTGGAAACCATATTTGACTTTTCTGAAGCATTTTCTCATTACCAAAGATATAAAGAGCATGAAGTGCCCTTGACAATGCTATAATTACTCGCTTTTTATCATTTAACACCTTGAAAGCTTCCTCGTACCATTTTTCGCTTACCGCTACTAATGAAAGTAAAACGATTTGGTTCTCATCATTATTATGTTCGTCAATCAATTTAACTTGAATTTTTCCTGCTTTGGTTTTCTCTTTGTCCAATCGTCCATGAATGTTATAAGGCAGGTGTTGACCTGGCTCTTTTTTTAATTCTGGTTTCAATGATTCCAAAATTAATTTTTGCTGATTCACATTAGGTGTCAAAATTGTTATTCTTGCTGGGTCATATCCCTGTTGATATAAATAAAAAGCAAAGCTGGCAACAAACTTCGCTTCAAACGTGTTTGTTTTCCAGTTTTCATCAAAGTTGTTATGTGTCATAAAAAACACATGAGAAGGGACGCCCATGATTTTGGGAATATTTACTGCTACGCTATGTTCCGTCGGGTCAACGTTATTATAAAGCGTACGAACAAGTTCATGAACCGATGGATGCATGCGAGACTGTTGTTTCAAATTAACATGGTCCCCACCACATTCGATCCATCTTTCAAATAAGGACACGTCTAAACCGTGTTCTTGAGCGGTCTTACTCTTGACGTTAGGCTTTGAAAGCTGGTTATCACCAAACATTATCAAATGTTCAAGTCTATTGGAAGAAATTAATGACATTAAATGTGCTTCAGAAATTTCTGAGGCTTCGTCCACAATACAAACTCTTGGCTTAACAGAGGCGAGGACTTCACGATATGCCGTAGCATAATTAAAGGTCATTCCGATCACTGGAGCGAAATTGCACACTTCAGTCCATCTCGCAACTTGAGTAGTTTCTAACTTTTCCGCTTCCAATATCGCTTTCTTTTGACGTTCCCTAATTTCTGAATCACAGAATTCAAGATGATGCTGACGAAACCTATTATATAACAATCTTCGCTCGCTTGATGACATGGACCAAATTCCCTTTCCACTTTTACTCCAAAATTTTTTCGAAACACTAGCGAAATCAATTTGATATTTGTAATTTTGACCTTCCGGTTTAAGTTCTTGATCCTCTTCACACTTGCATATAACACGGTCATTAATCTGATGTTCCAAGATTTCCTTATCAAAGTCAGAAGGGGTAGAAATATCATCTTCATTGTTCATCTTATCGTTTTCGAATAAGTACGATTTAGAGAGTTCCGTTAGCAATGATACAACTTGAGAATCTTTATGATTTGGTTGACCATTATTATGTGACGTTTCTTTTACTAATAATAAATTAGAGTTGTTAATGGATAAGCTAAGAATATTTGGAGCGAACAAATCGTACCTGGATTGTTATCATCAAAACCTTGGTTAGTAACAACATTAGTCCATACGCGAGACTTTGTGGGAAAAGATGTGCTAGTTCTTTGGTTATTAGAACTATTTGAAGGTGGAAAAGCGGGGAAATCTTTTTTCGAAGGACCCCTTTTATTAGCTTTAGTGTCAGATGAATTATTCTTTAATTTGAAAATATTGTCAAACGTATTCAATTCGGACTCTCCTTCTAACCAATTTTCTAAGCAACGTACAACCATTGCATTTTCTGACTCAAATCCAAGGTTCTTATATTCACAATTCTTTAATTTCGCAGGAATTAATTGTTCGCGGAACGCTCTGGGACACGTTTCGGCAAAATATTCCAATGTCAAGGCAGATCTCCTAAATTTCCACAAATCTTCTAGCGTTCTTTGCTCATTACTCATTCTTTCGCGAATTTTTAGCCATTCTCTACGTAATTGAACAGAACTGCGTCTAAAAATTAAATGTTCATTTGCCACACCATGAATTTGACGTGCTTTTAGATCAGGATTACTATATTTCGAGAACGATCCACAGCGAATTAGGTCTGGGAAAGAAGGAAGTAATTGCTCCAAAATACTGTCAAGAGCATATGAACTACGTGCAAGGATGAGAATCGGCTCGAAACAATGACTCTGTTTGATGGCCTGCTTAAGTAACTCAACAGCTTTTGCAGCAACTTGTGCTTTCGAAGTAACAACTGGTGCCACGATCACGGCAACCTTTCTTGAAATTATTTGCCTTAAAGCAAGCACACAAGAAAATTCCATGTTATATGCTGGGGAGCTATATGGAGTCCAATAATTTGGCCAATCAGCTCGGCTCTTAGGAATGACAGGTTGTTTTTGATCGACCAATATTGAAGTAATATCAAAGGAAACGTTCTCAAGATAATCCGGGGTAGACTTATCGAGAACACACGTAAATAATTCTCGAGATAATGGAGAAATTCGTTGAATACCATTACTTGGTTCTTTGAGCCATTCCATTACTGGTCTTATTGAAGCATAGTTCAATGTTGATTCCAGCATAACATATTTACCGTTAAGATCAAGCTTGTCGAATTCTGAGTCGAAAAAGTTTAATCCCACGCAACTTTCTTGTGGTGCAATACTATGAGATCTGACTTCATCGAGGCTAAAATGTTCGACCATTGCCCAGATCATACTTGACGTATCGACAGATATATTACCAGATTCTGTTTTAACTTTGAATAATAATACAAAGGTACCGTAGATCAGATGCTCACCCTTAGTCCAATTAACGGGTCTACTTGGTTTGAATCCAACTCTAACATATGGAGTAAAATTTTTATCAATAAAAGTGTTTATAATTCGAACGTCACGGTAGAAAATGTAATTATACAATGGCGAATTATCTGGCAGAACAAGGTCTTTATAATTAACAGCGAAGAAAGCAACGCTAGCTCTTTGAAGATCCTCTAAAACTTCAGTTCTTAACAAATCATAATGAACTTCACGATATATTTCTTCATAATCAGGCAACCATGGCCGATTCATCAAATGTTGTGTTAACATTGGCTTGTCAATCATTGCTTTCAAGTTGAAAATTTCTTCGGGTAAAGGCACTAAGGGTTTATCAACATAATTTTTGCAGTGCATAGTAATCCAGGAAGGCGTTTGCGGTTTTGAAGTCATCTTCTTAGCATATTGAACCATCTCTCTAATGTTTTTAAGTCTTTCACAAACTTCTTTCGATTCCACCTCGGAAAAGGTACTTCTAATCTTGTCACAAACCTCAGTGATATCATTATGTGAAATATTCCGAGCTGATTCGGGAAAAAGGTTTAGAACAAAATCAGAGAGTCGAATAATGGGTATAAGGTCGCTACCACAATTAACTTCTTCTTTCATATAGGAAAATACTTCTTTAAAGAAATCATCATTCGCGATGAATATACGAATCAGTTGCTCTGTATCCTTGTTGTCTGACCTTAGAACGAGATGTGAAGAAAGGATCTTAAGAAGTTTCTGTATCGTTTCAGTATCAAATAAATTAATCTTGGGAATCAATTCCTGAGCAACGGCCAAAATGCAATTGAGCCAATTTGTAGGAGTGGTGTGATATATACCATTGACCATATCACAAACATGCTCTGCATCGGGAGACCTTTTTTTTCCTTGCCTTCTTAATCGTGATCCTCCCGTGGAAGCAAAATATTCAGTAGATGGGATTTGTACCATCTTTCTCGTAATTTCTAAACGGCCACCTTTTTTAAAACGAGAAAACTCATATTCACTCAAGCAAATATCACCATCCCTTTGTACCGCGGTAAGAAAGTGTTTGTGATCTTCATATCCTTGTGCTAATTGTGTCTGAAACTTAGGATATTTTGAAGTTGACGCTGCATTAGACGAGGAAGCATTGTACATTGAATCTGGATAAACGTCGTCATGGATATAATCCAAAGGTCCCGCGTCCGGCCAATCTTGTTCTTTGGGCCTTTTTGTTGGCACCGGTCTCATACCGTCATCACTATTAAAGTCCCAATTCGAACCGAGGTTTTCGTTTTCCTCTTTTACATTCAGATATTCTTCGATATCTGTCGCGCTGGCCCAATCGAGTGGAACGTCCGTACAACCACTCCATAATTCTTTTGATAATTCTGCAAGCTTTTCAAAAGATTGCGCGGATGACCGTGAATCGTTCTCAAAAATTTTTGCTACCATTTTTGCTACCTTTGGCCGTTCCGGGGGCTTCAAGTCGGTAGCTGAGGAGACCGGACATATTGGATATGGAGGAGGGAAACTCATCCCTTCAAAACCATCTTTAAGAATTTCTTCGTTGTGTCGACTTCGTCCCCAATGCTTTCCTCTATTCCAAGTGTTCCTTTTAGTGTTCTCTTCTTTATCCAACGAATCGAATCTCGGAGATTGTGGTCGATCAATTTCCAACTTCGGAGAGATAATTTCTTTACTGGATATTACCCAGTCGACTTCATCATCATCAGTTTGTTCGACCGCTTTCATTGCCTCGGTACTTGTAGAACTAGCGTTACAAATTTTTGCATCTTTTTCTCCAACAGCCTCGGATGCCTTTTTTAAAAGATTTGATTCAATCTTCGTCATTAAAAGTGAAGGATCTGCGGCGGCCGCTTCCCAGCGGCTGATCTGTTGGTTAGGCTCAACATTATTTGGCTGTGAATCCCAACCACCTAAATCTTCCGTCATGGGAGCTTCTATTCCGTGGGATTCTTTGGATGAGGGATGAGGATCACAATCTATCATTACATCTTGTCTAATGGGAGGAGTATGGTAAGGACTAAAGCTTCTATGAGTGCTTCGGCTACGAACACTGCCGCGATTTGATTGAACGACACCATGATGAACGTTGCTTTGGTTACTTAAACGATCACCTCGACGAGTACCTTGGTAATTATGGGGATGCATTTCGTAATTAGAATAAATTGGATCGTTATTAAAATGTTTATTATAACTAGAAGAAACTTGCTCTTTGTTGAAATGATCATTATGGCGAGGGACAGATTGATCGTTGTTAAAATTATCATTATGGTGAGGAGCATGTTGACTATTGAAATGTTCATTACGGTGAGAAGCAGATAGGTCACTGCTGAAATTCTCATTGCAGTGAGGAGAAGCAGACTGATCTTTGTTGAAATTCTCATTTCGACGAGAAGAAGCAGATTGATCTTTGTTGAAATTCTCATTGCGGTGAGAAGAAGCAGATTGATCTATGTTTAAATTCTCATTGCGACAAGGAGAAGCAGATTGATCTATGTTTAAATTCTCATTGCGACAAGGAGAAGCAGATTGATCTATGTTTAAATTCTCATTGC